GGTGTATCACGAGGTCAAGAAATTGAGACCATCCCAGTCAACATGGTGAAACCCCGTCTCTACTAAAAATACGAAAATTAGCTGGGCATGGTGGCGCGCGCCTGTAGTCCCAGCTACTCGGGAGGCTGAGGCGGGAGAATTGCTTGAACCCAGGAGATGGAGGTTGCAGTGAGCCGAGATCGTGCCATTGCACTCAAGCCTGGGTAACAAGAGCAAAACTCTGTCTCAAAAATTAATTAATTAATTAAAATTAAAAATGTACAGTGCTCCAACAAACATCTGCCCTCTGTGGAAGGCATAATAATGAGGCCCTCCCTCAACTATGTCCACATCCTAATCCCAGACTCCCTGAACGTGTTAGGTTATATGGCAAGGGGGGATTAAGGCTGCATATGAAATAAAGGTTGCTAATCAGATGACCTTGAGATGTGGCAAGTGTCCTGGATGAACCAGGTGGGCCCAAGGTAATCACAAAGGTCCTCAAAAGCAGAAGAGGGAGCAGGAAAGGGGAAATCAGATAGGAGGTGGCCTGTGTAGGATTTGGCAACATCACTGGCTTCAAAGGTGAAGGAAGAGACCACAAGCCAAGGAATTCAGATAGCCTCTGAAACCTGGAAAAGGCAAAGAAACAGGTTCTCCCCTAGAGGCTCCAGAAGGAATGCAGCCTGCTGACACCTGGATTGTAGCCCAGTGAGACATACTTCAGACCTCTGATCTCTGAAACTGGCAGACAATCAATCTGTGTTGTTCTCAGGCCACTAAGCTTACGGTAATGCTACATCAGCAACAGGAACCACACATAGCCCTCTATTTGCCTATAATGTCAGGTCATCTGGTCCCTGATCCTAATGGCCTGTGTGACCCTGGAGAAGACTGTGCCCCTCTCTGGGCCTCAGCACCCTCATTTATACCATAGGCCTTCATGTCTTGGTACCCCTGGATCCCAAGGCTCCATGGTTGAAGCCATGTGACAGGGCACACATTTGCTCACCAGCCCTGACCCTTAGATGTCAGTGCTGTGGCATGTGCCATGGGTTGAATTCCCAAGGGAGGATAACAACGCTTCTCAATTCATGAGAAACACAGTTTCAGAAACACAGTTACGCCCAGGTTTCTGAAGCAGATTGAGCAAGTAAGTGGCTGGAACTTGTGCAACCTATGCCTACACCTATTGCTGGATGCCCAGCATGGTGTGTTTTGAGTTAATATGCAGAAAACCAACGACAGGAGGGTCCACATGGCCATCTGCAGGTCTAGAAACTCACTCTGAGGGGCCCTCAGACAAATGACAGGCCAGCATGCCCCAACAGAGGGCTGTGAGCAACACGTGTGAGATGCCTCGAAAACAAACAACCCACCTTCACAAAGTGCCCCTGGGGAGGAGGCCTGGAAGACCTAGCCCTGGGGGCTTGTAATTAAAAATTCTCTCTCCCATGCTCCGTACTGCACCTGAAGTTTCCCGAGGTTCTACTCAGGCCAGGTGTGTGTGTCACAGCAAGATCCATAAATGTACAGAGAAAAGCCCCTGCCTGCAACACAGCACTCTAGCAAGAGGCAGAGAGAGGCAAGCGTTAGAGGACTAGGGCCAGCGTCCCCCTGGTTCTGAGTGATAGTGAGAGGAACCCAACAAGGGGCAGCCCTGACAAGCCAGTGACAAGTGACAGATGGCCCCAAACAGCCACAACACCCACAGTGGAAGCCTAGGTGACATACTTTCCAAGCATCTTTTGAGATCAAAGGACACAGAAGAAAAACAAAAATTAAACCAGAAAATAGTCCCTTCAGCTCTGGGGCTAGATCCCAGGAGTCTGAGTTAAGAGGGCCTAACTGTGCAGATACTCATACCCCCTAACATCTCAGCAGGTCACATCTTTCACCTGTCCCCATCCCCACCTGTGCCCCTAGGTGTGAATTCCATGGCTTTTCCTGACCCTGATAATTATGAGACCCAAAACTCCAGTTTCCTTACAACAGAGTGATGGAGCAGGCGCTGTGTGTATAGCCAGCTCTGATGTCATCTCACTGTACTTGCCCATGCTTTACAAGAATTACATGTGCACGTGTGTGTCTCCCCTTGAGGAACTCACAGGACCTGGTACACACTAGGACTCAGACCCGTGTTTACCAAATTGAATTAAACAAAGAACAGGGGGAAGGGGCACTGATGGAGGAGGGTTGGGAAGGGTAGGGGGTGCAGATATGTTTACCAGTGGGATTATATGTGCACATTTGGCCCCAGTTTTGAATCAAGAACACTGTGTAAAGTTGTGTAGTATGTGTACTACACAAAGATGCCTAGCTGAGAGAAAGAGAGCTGAAATCCAGCCCACATTCCATTTGCCAGTCTGTGCGCCCTTGGATCTGCATCCATTCAGAACTTTGTCAGGCTCCTTGGATCCTCTATGCCTCAGTTTCCTCATCTATGAAATGGGGTAATAATTGCTAGGCTGAAGGATGCTTTTTCTCAATTCTCAGTGTTTTCTGACAATTTGAAAAGGGCTCTGCTGGTCTGGCCCACCTGGCCATTCTCCCCCTCTTTACTTACTTCACCCTAAGAAAGGAAATGTGAATTACATGCTTGATAAATTCCGCAGAAAATAAAAGGCATGTTAGGCTCAGCTTTGCCCTTTTTCCTCTTAGAAGTGGGCTGCGCTTCCAGGGGCAGCTCCTCCCTACCATGTGTTATATGAGAAGACCTGCCCTGGGCCACAATAGAAGGTTCACTTGAGCCCAGGAGTTCACGACCAGCCTAGGCAATATAACGAAAGCCCGTCTCTACAAAAAAATACAAAAAATTAGCCAGCTGTGTGGAAATTGGTGCACCTGTGGTCCCAGGTACTTAGGAAGCTAAGTGGGGAGGGTTGCCTGAGCCTGAGAGGTCAAGGCTGCAGTGAGTTATGATCATTCCACTGCACTCCATCTTAGGTGACAGAGAAAGACCCTGTCACAAAAAAAGAAAAAAAAAAAAAGGCAAACCGAAGACATTCCAAACAAACACTAGAAAAAAATTTTAACATACCTGCTAAAAAAACTACTAGAGGAAGTTATTCAAGTAAAAAGAAAATATAAATGCCATAATTATTCCATCTAAAATTAAAAAATTATCAGACTGAATTTAAAGTTCCAAATACATGCTGCTTATCAGAGATATGCTTTAAATATATTCTAGATGGAAATCTCAGTAAATATCAAAGGATTGTAATCATAGAGATGATATGTACATATGTATATATGTGTGTGTACATATATCTATATATGTATGTATATATATGTACACACACTACCAGAGTAGAAATAAGCTAGAAATAAAAAAACAAAAAGATAAATAAAAAAATGCCCTCAATATATGAAATTAGTCAGTCCATGTCTAAATAACCCATGGGCTAAACAAAACACACACACAACTGGAATTAGAAAATATCTTCACTAAGTTATATGAATATGTAACATATTAACTTACAGAATACAGACAAAGCATTACTTACAGAGAAATTTGCAGCTTTAAAAGATATTACAAAAGAAGAAGGCTGAGAATCAGTAAACTACAAAACAGTAGCAAATTAAACCCAAAGAGAATAAATAAAGAAAATAAAAAGAGCAGAGGTCAATGAAACAGAAAACAAACATAAAGCCAAAAGTTTTCTTTGAGTATATTACACAGTTGATAAATTCCTAGTAAGACTAGTTAAGAGAAAGAGAGAGAATCTAAATTATCAGTCTCAGGAATGAAACAGAGACGAACTTCAAACAGAAAACAAACATAAAGCCAAAAGTTTTCTTTGAGTATATTACACAGTTGATAAATTCCTAGTAAGACTAGTTAAGAGAAAGAGAGAGAATCTAAATTATCAGTCTCAGGAATGAAACAGAGACGAACTTCAAAGTGATAATAAGAGATAATTATACAATTTTATACCAGTAAGTTTAAAATCTATATAAAGTGGCCAAACTCCTTGAAAAACTACAACTTACCAAAACTTACACAAGAAAGTTAAAATTTGAATTAAAAAAATTTTAATTAAATATGTAATTTAAAACCTTTCAACTTAATGCTCAGAAAATTTCTCCAGTAAGCTCTCCCAAAGATTTAAGGAAGAAATCACATCAATCTTACACTAACTCTTCAAGGGGATAGAAAGAGGGACCACTTCTAGCATAATCTAGGTAGCAGCATCTGACAAAGCTGTTGCAAGAAAGGAAAGTACTTGCAAGAAAGGAAAAGGAGAAGGCCAATCTCCTTCATAAACTTATACACAAAACCCCTACACAAAATGCTAACAAATCAAATCCAACTATATATAAAAAGATAATGGATTACTTCCAAGTTAGATTTATTCTTGGAATGTAAGGTCGGTTTAACATTCAAAAATCGATCAATGTAGGAATCATCAAGGCCTATTGTAAAGAATAAAAGGATAAGGTAAAGAATGAAATAAAACAGAAATAATGCCCAAAGGGCCCTTATGGGGGTGATTCATCACTGCATCTCTGGCTTCCCACAAGGAACTCTTACCACGTCTGACTGGCCAGGCTGCTGCAGGTATGCTTTGGGACCACCTGCTAAAGCAAGCTTGTCTAACCCGCAGCCCACATGCAGCCCAGGATGCAGCCCAGGATGGCCCTGAATGCAGCCCAACACAAATTCATAAACTTTCTTAAAACACTGAGTTTTTTTGTGGTTTTTTTTTTTTAGCTCTTCAACTATTGTTAGTATATTCTATGTGTGGTCCAAGACAATTCTTCTTCCAATATGGCCCAGGGAAGCCAAAAGTTTGAACCCCCCTGTCTAGAGCCTTCTTTAGCTTTCCAGATGTGTGAGCTCTGGTTGAGTTTTCTTCTTGATTGACCATAATCAACTGTGCCTTGCCGGTTACCTCACAGGCTTGTTCTGAGAGACCAAGAAACCTAAGAAGGCCCCTTGGAAGCCATTAGGGGCTAGACAACATAAAAGAAGCAGAGCTTCTTTTTGAAAAGCCATCACGTTTGCATAGCACGCTCACCTGAAAGGTGTGGGCTGGCTGCCCTGCCGTTTGAACGCTCTTTCCAGCCTCTCCTGGGTCATCCTGGAATTACCACCAGGCAAGCAGAACTTCAAAGGTGTCCTGTCTGCATCTGTGTTGTCGTCCACTGCTGGGCTGTCCTCTGAAAGATCTCTCTGTCTGGCCCTGTCCCACGGGGCCAGCCCTTTGCTAGGCAGATGGGGAGGGCTACTGGCAGTGGTTTTCTGCTTTTCTACAGTCAATTCACTAAGCTGACTCAGGGAGGGCCTGTAGCGGGAGCTGTTGCTGGAAGCCAGGATGTCCTGCTGGGTGCAGACAAAGAGCTCAGGGACCTTACAGCTCTCCTCTTGGGGCTGGGTGGAGCTGCTTGAGGACAGGGACCGTCTCAGAGAGCGTTTGTGGAAAGAATCCTAAAAGGAGCAAGGACAAAAGCAGTGAGGACCCCTGTGACGTGAGCTGGAAAACACAGATCCCACTTCAAGCATTTGTGATGTGATGTCTCTCCCAGGAATGTCTTTTCCCACCCCTGACTCCTTCCCTTAAAATCCTGCCTGTTTTGAGGCGCTGCCCAATGCTCCCACCTCTGCTTTCAGTGACGCACACCCACCTGCCAGAACCTCAGAGCAGGCCTCGTCCTTTCTCTCACAGCCCTTACAGACAGCATGTCATACAGCAGGTGAAGCCGTCACTCCAGTCTGCATCACCACCTACCAGCTGTGTCACTTGTGGCAAGATGCCTAACTTCTCTGTCCCTGATTTCCTCACCTGAAATATAACCAGGCCGCAATCCACTACCTGTCATTTCTAAATCCCAAAACCAGCCTGGGCACAGTGGCTCATGCCTGTAATCCTAGCACTTTGGGAAGCCAAGACAGGTGGATCACTTGAGGCCAGGAGTTCAGGACCAGCCTGGCCAACATGGTGAAACCCCATCCCTACTAAAAACACAAAAAATTAGCCGGGTGTGGTAGTGCATGACTGTAATCTCAGGTACTCAGAAGGTGAAGGCAGGAGAACCACTTGAACCCAGGAGGCAGAAATTGCAGTGAGCCGAGATTGCACCACTGCACTCCAGCCTGGGCCAGCGAGACACCATCTCAAATAAATAAATAAATAAATAAATAAAATCCCAAAACCTCTGAAAATAAAAGGTTTTTCTTAAATCCTGTGGTAAATTCTTAACTGTTGTGAGGTCGCTTACAGTTTTTTAAAGTATGAGTATTCATCAAGGCCTATTGTAAAGAATAAAGGCCTGTGTGGAGTTGCTGAAACAGTCATGTTTTTGCTTATGGGGTACTACACAAACCCTACTAAAGGCATCATGTCGTGTGTGGCTCATGCACCGTACTTCCTTTCCAAAATTTTTTTTAAAAAGGTGTAAATTCCAAAACACATCCGGCCCAAAGGTTTTGGATGAGGGATGAGGCACCTACAGTACTCCTCCTCTACAAGACTGAGGAGGATGACATGAGACCCGTGCAAGGCGCTAGCACGGAGCCAGACATACCACAACAGTCAGCAAATGCTCATGACTCCTACGCTTATTTGCCCCATGCCCACTTACATACGGTCTTAGCTTCCTCCTGGTGGCAGAGGTCATTCTTAATTTGCCGCTGGTGTTCACAGAGCATCCAGCTCAGCAGCCTATACCTAACAGGTACTCAAGATTTGCTTCATTTTGAAATGAAGGAATTCTAGAGGAGTCCACAGAAATAACCAAATATCCTCCCTTACCGTCAAAGATGAGTGGAGGAAATGGGAACTCATGTTGTTATTAATGGGAGGGCAGGGAGACAAAAACGGACCTACCAGGCTTTTCCTTGGTTTAAAATTCTGGACCTCTCAATACTTCCAGAAATAATCCAAGATCAAATAGTAAAGCCTGGGCTGGAATAAGGAAAGCTTAATTTTATAATGTTCTGGCCAAGTAGACATTACTAAGCACTATAAACCTCCTCCCAAAGCCACTCAGGGCATCCCCTGCACAAAGTGAGGAAGACATTAGTCACTATCCCCAAGGAGACTCGAACTTCTGGCCCAAGGGAGCTGGTGCTGCTGCAGGGAGCCCAGCCTCTTAAAGTCATTCTTAAATACAGAAGTGATCCAATAAAAATGATCAAATACCCAACAATCTTTGGCTCTTTCCTCCTGAGCAACCAATAAGTAAGGCCAAGGTACTCAAAGGCTACAATGTCCCTTCTAGAGAATCTGGAGAAATTCTAGAGCAACCTATCCTTCAACATTCTTCACAGGTTTCAGATACTACCTGCCCAAACAATTACCAAAAGGAGAAGTCTGCTGCAATGCCTCCGGCAGTGAAGCAGATGCAAGCCATCTCCCTAATGCCACGGGTATAAAGGGCGTCTCCACTGTACACACTAGATGATTAGGACGTCATGCTAGGACAGCACCTTGGTGCTCACCTGGCTCACTGGTCCTCAACGAGTAGTCCACCAACCCCTAGGAGTCCCCAGACCCTTTCAGGGAATTCAAAGCTATTTTCATAATAGTAAGATGACACAATTTGCCTTTTTTCACTGTGTTGACTTTGTGCACAAAGCAACAGTGGGAAAAACTGCTGGCCCCAGCATGAATCAAGGCAGTGGAACCAACTCCACTAGTGCTCAAAGCCCTCTTTACCACCGACACACTAGCAATGAAAATAGATGAATAAAGTGCTGACTTCACTGAGGAAATGCCCATGCTGACACATAAAAATTATCATTTTTTACCTTCTTTTTAAAATCATTATTCCCTTAGACTCTCCAGCACACATCTCTTCAACACCCTGAGTGACACAGTGAGAGGGACATGAAGGCATTCCTCAGAGCATGGAAGACAGCAGCTGGCACTGCACGACTGTCTAAGGCTGCGAGTGAACTTGCTGGTTTTTTCATGGAACAACTGACAGACAAACTATGGTGACTCAAGCGTGGGCATTTGGCAAGCATTTTCTTGAAAATCAATTGAGCCTATCACCTCAAGGGAAACAAATGGTGTATTTTTGTCAGTGATAAACACAAGCTGTCAGGTAAAAATTAGAATTTTGGAAAACTTCTATCTGCCACCGTAAGCTTGAGAGCTTTGCAATACTTAAAAATTTCTTGGACGAGCTGGGGGATGACATCAATGAATGCAATTTTTTGGTGTGATTTTCTTTTTGTCTAATGAGATGTGTCCACATTTGGAAGATCTATATAACTCAGTAACTGATATTTTTCAAATGACCAATATATTATGTTACTAAATCATGCAGAGGTAAAACATTCGAAGTACAAGACGTACCAAGGGAAATTGGTAAGGTACAAAAAGTTCACCGATATGGTTTAAGATTTCACATTGAGAAACTGTAACTTGCCTAGTTTCAATGCAGCATCAAAGAAAAATAACCCAGTTTACTGAAAAGACTATTAAAATACTTTTTTCTTTGCCAACTGCTTATCTATGTAAGGCCAGATTTTCTTCATACACTTCAACCAAAACACCATATTGCAATAGGCTGAATGCTGAAGCAAATATGAGCCTGAACTGTCTTCTACTAAACCAGACTTTAAAGAGATTTGCAAAGAAATGTAAAACAATGCCACTCATCTTACTAATTTTTTGTTTTGGAAAATAGTTATTTTGTCATTAAAATATACTGTGTTACACGTAACAGGTTTACTACTTTTATTTTTAATGATTTTGTAAGTAAATATTTTTTAACTTCTTTTAATTTCAAATATAGTAAATAGCAATAGACAAACCCATATAAACAAATGCTCTTTGCACTCCACAATAATTTTAAGAGTATAAAGAGAGCCTGAGACTTAAAGTCTGAGAACTACTGATGGAGTCTAAACTCTCACCCAGGCAGGACTCCTTCCACAGCGTCCCCAGCAGATGGGTCACCTAACTTCCCTTTTACACAACTAGCCGAGTCCCTTCCAAAACCACCTTTTCCACGGCTGAGGTGGCTGTGACCAACGGAGGGCTCCAGTACCAGCCTCCATCCACTGGAGCCACCAGGCAAGGCTACACCACTCAACCCAACAATGGGGCCAGAAGGCATACACCACGCACTACACAGAAACACACGGTGCCCTGCTCTTGCAAGGCTTACAGACTAAGCTGGAGATTGCAAATAAGAGTTTTTCTCACATGGAGACAGGCTATTCCTACCTCCATATTCGAAGAAATCTCTTACATTCTGCCAACTCCCACAAGATTAAGCATCTCCAAATCTTTTCATTTCCTCCAAACTGTTCACCATTTTAGCCCCTTTCCTCTGGACAGGATTTAGTTTCTGAATGTCCTTTTTCAACAAGAAGACCTAGGATGGGGTATGACATCAAGATGTGGCATGAACTACATAGTGATGGACAGGCTCTTCATTGATCTGGACCCCAAGACTGCATAACTCGAGAGCACGGAAATCCCAGAGCCCTAAGGGGCCTTAGACAGCTGGTCTAATAGAAGAGATTGCAGCCAAGATAAATAAAAACCTTGATCAAAGACCCCACAAGATGGAGCCCAGGGGCAAGGAAAGGACTCACTTCTTTCCATCCTAATTACAAATGAACTGGGAGAACAGTGCCAGCACCTACACCCACATCTAAATATACATCAGGTGAGTGAGAGCACAGGTGGACACAGACACCCTAGTTTTGGTTGGCTCAGACTCCTGACTTGACTGATATATGGCATTTTGGGTTTGGTGTTTCCTTTTGCTTTGCTTTTCCATTTCTTGTATTGCAAACTTCTTTTACATTTGTTTCTGATTTGGTTTCATCTCTGCCTAATGAACTCTACCATGGTCACCCCGTAAGGAAGACTATAAAACAACAATGTGAAATTTTTAGAATTTTTTTTTGAAAGAGAAAAAATAAAAGCAGAATAAATGAAACTATAAGGATTGGGGGTTTTATTCCCTTTTAACTATTGTGTTTTAAATTTTTTTAAAAGATGCTCTCTGTTTTTCTTTTTTTGGACAGGGTCTTACTCTTGCCCATGCCAGAGTACAGTCACATGATCACAGTTCACTGTACCTCAACCTCCCAGGCTCAAGCAATCCTCCCCACTCAGCCTCCAGAGTAGCTAGGACTACAGACGCACACCACCACACCTGGCTAACTTTTATTTTTTGTAGAGGTAGGGTGGTGGGACAAGTGTCTCCCTATGTTGCCCAGGCTGGTCTCAAATTCCTAGGCTCAAGTGATTCTCCCACCTTGGCCTGCCAAAGTTCTGGGATTGCAGGCATAAGCCACCGTGCCCGGCCTAAAGATGCTCTCTAAACCTGGATAGGTTCCCCACTCCTGAATTACAAAGACAAAGCTGAGTAGGTGTTCTCAGCCAGCAGAGGAGTAGAAAACCTTACAGACAAAATGGGTAAGCTAAGGGCAGGAAAGGCAACCTGCTCAAGGCCCTGTGAGGCACTGACAGTAGAGCCAGAGAGAAAACAGAGGGAATGTTCTTCCCATACCCATACACAGGCTCTTTTCTCAGACTATCCTGTGGGGTACCCCAAATAAACCCAGGAATGCCTTAAGCCTGGCCCAGTCCTCAGTCTCCAGTCTCATAACAAGAGAAAAAGCCCCACCTTCGGAGAGCTGGCAATGGGCCCAGTCATCACGCCTCGCACAGTCAGACCAGACTTTGGCCTGGAATTCTCTCCTATCCTCTTCACATCCAAGGAAGGCTCCAACGAGTGAACCTTGTCCATCTTCTCCCATGCAGAAGCCAACATAGGAGTTTCACCCGGGACCGTCTGCATGGGCTTACTTTTGTGTGGGGGCCTTTTAGATGATATGAAATTACCAAGTACATCTCCATCAAGATTGTCATGCCTGTAAAAAAGGATTATTTCCATTAAAACAGACTCCCCAAAAGGAATCAGTAGCAAAGATAGCAAATTTCACATTCAATGGGCACTCAAAGCAAGTCCATTAATCAATCCATGATGACTTCTAACCACCCAGCACTTTATCATGAAAGATAAGGAAAAGAAAATACTCTGATATCAGGGCAAGTCTGCCCTACAAAATAAGACCAGTAAACAAGCAAACAAATTCAGAGATGATGGTCCAAAACAGGACCTCTTAAGTCCTTAAGACTAAAGAGCATCCTCAGTTTTTTGGGCCTGAATGATGAAGGAAAACTATAACCCTTCAGGACAGTCCTAGGGTATGTGTAGCCAAGCCTTGCCGGACACCACTGAGAGGTGTGGAGAAGACCCAGTGCAAACTCAGCATTCCCCCACTGTTCAGTTAAAGCTGGAGTCAGTGTGCCAATGGCTGGGTGTGTGTGTGTGTGTGTGTGTGTGTGTGTGTGTGTGAGAGAGAGACAGAGAGAGAGACAGAGGAAGAGAGCAAGAAAGAACAAAAGAGACAGTGAGAGTAAGCACAGAGAGAGAAAGAACAAGACAGAGCCCACAAGACAAAGCCAGAGACCTAAGCAAAGGGGAATCTTACCTCTGATCACCCATAAGCCAGCACCCCTGTGAAACAGACTCAACTATTTTCTACCCCTGGGCTCTGGCATAAATAAGTATTGCCACCTACCCTATGCCAAGCTGCTTGCCAGGGACTGGGTCACATGTGGGCAGGCAATCACATCTGCTGTGATTGGGGCATGTCAAGCAAAGGGGCTGGAACCAGGCTGAAGAAATCCCAAAAGGCTCCCAGAGAAAGCAGCACCTGAATCTGAGCCAATCAGGAGGGAAGAGGTCCCCAGGAGAGGGCCCAGCCCCAGAAAGCAGGCCTCTAAGGCATGAGGTGCTCCGGGGAGAAGTGGGGCTGGTCTGGAATGGGATTCGGCATGGCCAGACTCCTTTGTGGAAAGCTCACACTATCTTAGGGCAAGGGTGGATTTGAGGGGAAGATCACTAGAGGCCTGGAGACCAGGAAGGGGCTGTGGGAGTTAGCCAGGAAAAGATGGGAGTGTGAACTGAGGCTCTTGTCAGTGGGCAGAGAAAGAAGGAAAGAAGGAAAGTGCCTACTATCACTGTGGGTGCAGAGCTCACAGGACTCACAGATGCAGAAGATGACAGGGGGAGGCAAGAACACTCACATTTTTGGCTTGGGTGCCTGGGTGGGACTCAGAAGCTTCAACTTCCTGTTGCTTTTTTATTTTATCAGAAATTTTTCACTTCCCAGCCAGGCAGTAAGTACTTTGGAGGAAGAGCTTCTTTATAGCCCCTCACAATCCTACACCTCCAAATCCTTGTGCTAAATGCTTGTCATGGTCCCACCTTTTGGCAGCTGGACATCCATGCCTTAAGCTTCAGCGACCCTCAGGAAGGGAAATGCTTTTCAATGGAACCAAAAGAAAGGAAGTTAAGCTCACTACTGGGGACTGCTGTATCTTAAGGTCATAGTTTAATTGTTTCCCAAATAATAGAGGTTAAATCAAGAATGCCAATTCATTTTCTTCCTAAGATTTTTAAAAGAGCTTATTTTTCGGATTTTTTTCCCATCTGTACAGTGTTTCGTTGCCTTGTAGAATACTATAGCCCCGTTTTTAAGAAAATCAAATAAAGCAAGTGCTTGAACCTTATGATCATGGAATTTAAAATAAACACAGTGAATTCTAACTATTCTCCATCACAAAGCAGTCCATTTTCACAGCCTCGACAGGAAAAAAACAGCACTCCATGGCAGAGATTTTGAAAACACAGAGTGTAGGAAGCTGAACAGTGACCCCCGCAAAGATACTCACATCCTGATTCCTGGAATCTGTTAACCCATTTATGCCAGAGGTTGCAATTTTTTGAATTTTTGCATGAATGAAAATTCAGACCTTGGTGATGACCTTGAGCGGTACAATATAAATAACTCCCACATATTTAGTGTTCCAATAATGGAACCCTAGGCATACGTGGGTTAACCATAAGTTACCCATAAGTTAACCCACTTACGGATAACTACAAAAGTGGGTTAGCTACATAGTAAAAGGGATTTTACAGATATGATTAAATTAAGAATCTTCAAATTGGATTATCTGGTAGGCCCAATGTAATCACAGGGGTCCTTCTTAGAAGGAGACATGAGGGTGAAAGGTAGCAGTAAAGTTAGGAGCTATAACAACACAAGCAGAGGCTGGAGTAATGAGCTTTAAAATGGAAGGAGAGGCCATGAGTCAAAGAACACAGGTGGCCTCTAGAAGCTAAAAAAGAAAAGAAAATTCCCTCAGAACCTCCAGACAGAACCAGGCCTGCTGACACCTTGCCTTTAATTAGTGAGACTTCTGACCTCCAGAACTGTAAGAGAATAAATTCGTAATGCTTTAACCACTGTGAGGATTAAATTTTATATGCCAATGTGGCTAGGCTGTGGTACCCAGTTGCTGAGTCAAGTATCAGTCTAGCTCTTGCTGGGAAGGCATTTGTAAATGTGGTTATTGTTTACAATTGGTTGACTTTAAGTAAGGCAGATTACCCTCAATGATGTGGGTGGGGCACATACTATCAGGTGAAGGCCTTAGGAGCAAAAGCTAAGGCTTCTCAAAGACGAAATTCTTTCTCAAGATTGTAACATAAAAATCCGGTCTGAGTTTCCAGATCTCCAGCCTGCCCTACAAATTTCAGACTCGCCAGCCTTTACAATCCCATTAGCCAGCTCCTCAAAATACACCTTTTTGTTTTATTTTAAGAGACAGGTTCTCACTCCATCTCTCAAGCTAGCCTACAGTGGTGTGATCATAACTCACCACAGCCTCAAACTCCTACACTCAGGTGATCCTCCTGCCTCAGCTCCTGAGTGGCTGGGACTATATGTGCACACTGCCACCCCAGCTAATTTGTTTTTAGTTTTTGTAGAGATGGGAGTCTCTCTATGTTATCCAGGTTGGACTCGAACTCTCGGCCTCAAATGATCCTCCTGCCTCAGCCTCCCAAAGCACTGGGATTACAGGTGTGAGCCGCTGTGCCTGGCCAAACTTCTTTATATATATGTACAGGTACATATGCATATAGACACACACACACACGTGTAGACTGTATTGATTCTGTTCCTCTGGAGAATACTGACTGAAACACCCATGAAGTATATAGTAACTTGTTACGGCAGCAATAGGTAAGTAATAAACAGAATAATGGGAAAAGATACCTGGCTTTGCTTGTTTCTGACAACGATGTTCTCCATCCTGCATCTTCGTCTGAAAGGTCATATATATTTACCAGTGTAGTCTCTGAGCATCTCGATGGCACTTTGTTATTTTTCTTTGGAACTGAGAGTGCAAGGATTGGGGTTTCTTGATTGAAATTGTTAGCCGTATTTCCAAAGTGATCCAGAAAGTATCTGGTGATGAGTTCAAGGCTCGTTTTTAGAGGATTTTCCTTTGCCTATCATTGGGAGAGAAAAAAAAAATCATTAATTATATGTACAGCTTCAGGGAAGAGTGGAAAAGACAACTATTCCACTTCTTTGAGTAAGTTTATCAACTTTTCACTCATTCAAACAAGCTTTCAGCCAACATTTACTGGCCATGTATTATACGTTAGGTACCATGTTGGGTTGGGACACAGAGGAAAACAAAATCTCTACCCTAAAAGAACTAGCATCCAATGCATGAGACAGGCCATTCAATAAATAATTAGAATAAAATGTGACAGAAATAGAGGCATGCCCAAGCAAATTTCCTCCTTTTTGCTCTAAGGAATAATTTTATAAAATATATATCCCTTCATTTAAAAATCGGAGTCTGTAGGGAACACTAACTCTACAGATTCATAAGTACTTGGGGTCTGAATTTTTTTTAGTTTGTAAACCCTGCATCTAACACTGACAGCAGCGATGACAGAGACAACCGAAGCAGATGATTAATGTGAAGAGCACAGAGGCAGTCAGGACCAACTCACTCTATATCCCAACTTTAAAAACAAAAGGCAAATCAAAGTCTTCAGTAAATTTGGGATTAAATGATACCAGTACTTTCCAGCCCTGCCTACTCGAAAAATGTTCCCTCTGGAAGTTTTTTAAAAATGCAGATTCTCAGGTTCCACTGACACTAAATCAGAACAGCAAAGATTTAAATTCCCCTTAGTAATCTGGATAGACACGGCCATTCATGCAACACTATGCAGGCTGGCCTCAGGGATGCAGCCACGTGTCAGTCCCCAACCCACTCACCCAGTAACACCCAGGTCCTGCTGAGCCATGGCTAGACATTTTGTAGAGTAGCAAGGCATCTGACCTGGAGCTTGGCAGAGCAGGCCCTCAGGGCACGCCAAGCCCTCCCCTTCCTACTCCTCTCATCTATGTAGCAGGACTCTAGGACTAAGACCCACAGCCCACGGACTACGAACAAACTCAGCAGATTCATCAGACAAAATCTGGGACAGTTTTACTGTTTTTTTTCAGGAAGAGATAAAAACAGAAATTATTTTATCTAAGATTAAATGAAGCTTACAATGAAGAGAATTAGAGGAAAGAAACATTTATTGTAGCCTTCTTGCTTTTTCTCTCTATAAGAAAGACTCAGAACCCTGAATTGCCTGATTTTACCTTACGCTTTTTTACATCACTTGGCTCACAATAGGCACAGCCTATATATGAATCTAGATACTGTTTGTCAAAATCTCAGTTTACATAGGCATTTTTATCTATCCTATACCTAATAGGTTAAAACAAGTTACTGGAAATATTAACATAAAATTGCAGGGCTTTCCCAGAATCAGGCTTTGTGCTGAGTAAATGTCAAAATTATTATGTAATAGACAGACTAATGAGTAATTTTCCTGTAAAATATACACTCCAATTCATTGTATAACAGCTAACAATTGTTGTATAAATCAGGGCACTTATCAGTAGCTCATGAAAATATCTTATGTATCTCCAGATAACAACTACTTTAGGGAGACTATATTATAGTGAGGGAATAAAAATAACTTGAACGCCAAAGACACTTGGGAAATTAGATCAGGTACATTTACGTTAAAAGTCCAATGTAATCAGAATGGTTAACTGAAATTTCTGGGTAGCTGTCTTATTCTCGGTGCGAAATTCTCCTAAAGTGTACAGTCCACTCTCCTGCCTTGGAATACAGCAGATGGAGGACTGCAAAGCATCTGCTGCCTGGGTCAACATTCTTTTCACAGGACTTAGAACATACTTGCTAAGGACAGGAGTTTGAGGTGCCTGCGTGCCACCCCAGGATGCAGAGAATAAAGGCCTTCTATTAGATATCTTTACTGAGCCTCTGATACACTTCACCTGGCTGCCATTGCCTATTTCTCCTCAAAGGGGAACAGGAGAATTTCTGGTGACCTGAGTGGTCCTGTAGTACCACTTGTTTTTGGTTTATATGTTTGCCTGAAATTCCATCCTTCATTTTATTGAAGGAAGCCTTGCCTAGGTTCCTTCCTGGCCTATGACACATATTTGCATAGTTTTTAGGCGATTCAGAGGATCCTCTGGGTGTCTCAAAAAATAGCCTTGGTAGACCATACCAATCCAATCTGCTAAAGTCCCATTTGAAAAAAGGATTACAATTAAAATGTGCTTGACCATCACCTCTACAATAGGATTGGGAATCAAAACACCTGATTCTAGCCTCATCTCTACCTTGTAACTGTGAGAACTTGGACAGCCAACTCTGTCTGGCTCACAGCTCCCTCCTAAGAGGAAATTTATCCATAGTTTAAAGCTGGACCCTGAGAGGCTAGCTGAGGAGGCAAGAACTCCTTTTCCCAACTTCAAATGGGGCATTTTCCCTTCTGTGCTTTGCCTATTGAAATTCTACATGATATATCATTTTACTGCATTTTTTTAAATTGTGATAAATGCTGAACTATATCATTTTCTTTTTGACTCTGACACTATGCCCAACCTCAAAGCAACATTTGCTGGATGACCCATTCTTTTTCTGTCTTCATAATAGATGAAAAAAATTAAGTAGAAAGTGTAGCTTTGTTCAATTGTATGGTCATTCATTCATTTATTCCACAAATATATACTGACTATTCACTATGTCATTGGACAGCACTTTATGTATGGAGATATAATCGAGAACAAAAAAGACTGCATTTCTGGCTTGTGCTGTGTCCAAGGTACTGGGGAGGCAGATATTAACTTTAAATCATATATTCTATTGCCAATGTGATAAACACAAAAACAGGAAACCAGGCCGGGCGCGGTGGCTCAAGGCTGTAATCCCAGCACTTTGGGAGGCCGAGGCGGGTGGATCACGAGGTCAGGAGATCGAGACCATCCTGATCACCATGGTGAAACCCCATCTCTACTGAAAATGCAAAAATTAGCTGGGCATGGTGGTGCGTGCCTGTAGTCCCAGCTACTCGGGAGGCTGAGGCAGGAGAATTGCCTGAACCCAGGAGGCGGAGGTTGCGGTGAGCCGAGATTGCGCCATTGCACTCCAGCCTGGGTAATGAGCAAAACTCCGTCTCAAAAAAAAAAAAACAAAAACAAACAAAAAAAAAAACAGGAAACCTACAGGGTTCCATGAAAGCCCGTAACAGCAGGTTGGGAGAGATCAAGTCTAGGGATCAGAGAAGCCCCCATCCCACCCACGTCCCACCCACGGAAATGCAGTTCCATTTGCTTTCCTGACTCTAACGCACCTGGGTTAGCTGAACCCAATTTCCTCCTCTTCCTAAATTATACTCAAGACTAAGGTATTACTCAGAACTGAAGAAGGAAACTCTTACACAAGCGAGGAATGGAAAATTTTAGTATAACTGGATACTATATTCTTAAGTACAGTCTTACTAAAAATAGCCTTGTGTGGGGAGGAGGGAGCACAGGGAATAACTGGAAGGATGAGCACTGCCACTGGCTCTGTTCAAAATGAGCCCAACAACCACACGCACGCAACACACCAGCGGGCGGCACCAGCCGACCAAGGTGGAAAACTCACTCCCGCTGGGGATCTGTCTGCACTTGGAGGGGGTCCGTCTCTCCCTGAATGCAAGTGTGGCAGGCCAGCAGCTCCTCAAGCCTCTCCTGTCACTGGCAGGGACCATGAGTGCTTTGGCAGTGCCAAACTCAGTTCCAAGACTCCACACCACACCTTAGAAAACACGTACCTTGTTCTCCTTATAGAGAACTTCGAGATGCAAAACCTTTCGAAGATCATTTCTGTTGTTTATGCTGAGGTCACAGCGCGGGCGTTCCTGGTCCATGGTCACACATGTCTTCTTTAAGCCCTGAGGGAAGAAATCTGAATCACTGTTTACCATCTTAAATCAAAGCCTGCTGTTCTCATAAAGCACAAGCAAAAGACTCCTGATGTTCTTCAAGATAACTCCCACATAACCTTTACACTTGACATCACCTCTGCAATTATTAATCTTATTCTGATTCTTACAACAGCCCTATGGGCTAAGTGAAGGCTGAAGTTTTCAGCCCATTTCACAGATAAGGAGTGAGTTCAGAACTCCCACACAGGAGTCCTGGGTTTGGCCCTATATTTGGAACCATAACATATGAAGCTTTAAAAATAAACAAAAGAAAAAACATGGCTAATATTCATTCCCCTCACTCTCAGATGGGGAAACCAAGAGATGGGGTTGACTCACCCAAGGTAACACAATGGAATTACATCACAGGCAGAGGTTATAACTATCCCAGCCTGTGAGTCCGTGACTCTGGGACCCAGACCCATGGAAAGCTCTTGGTAAATGTCTGCTAAATCACCAGCAAAGCCACTTTCCATCATCCCACCCCGAACTACCCGAAGACCAAGGTTCAAGGCACAACTGAGACATGCTCTAGCAATGGCAAATCTGGGGCTGGGGAAGTGAGCACCCTGTTCCCCACAAGTGCCTGGCTTCTCCATTTGAAAAACAACCACAGCAGTTGCTTTCTGCCCACCTCACTGGGCCATGGTGATTGTCAAATGGCTAGAGGCGGAAAGACAGCTCACCAACAGCTCAGCCTGGTGTTAGGAGGGTTCCTTGCTCTTAATGGATTCCAGACCCCCAGTGCTACACAGGCTTCAGCTTCTCTCAGAGCCTTTGTGTTCAGAATTTTACAGAGGGTCCAGGTGCTGGGGAAACAAGACAAAACCCACGTCCACCATGAGCTTAGGTAAGAAGGCCAATTTGGGAAACTAAAAGTAAGAACACACCGTTGAAACAAACAGGAAAGAGGAGGCCGTAAGGAAGGTAAATGGAAATAAATGGACACTATGTGTTGGAAAAAAAAGGTGGATTAGGTGCATCAGTAAGAGTCCATTTGAAGGAAAGGTGGGGTTCAAAACCAACCACCCACATTTCATCTGGGCTTAACCATGGCTTTCCCTCCAGTCAAAGCGATGTGGAACACACTATAACGAGGGTCCCTCTCTGATGGATAACTCTTTATGTCTGTCAACAGCTCAAATCAGCGAGCCCTGGCACATTTAACAAACCCCACCCCCACCCCAGCTCTACAGTGTGATGCACACCAGCATTTGTAAACTATGGGGGCCTGGGCATGGTGCCATAGGCCTGCAGTCCCAGAACTTCGAGAGGCCAAGGCAGGAGGAATCTTTGAGCTCAGAACTTCAAGGCCACAGTGAGCTATGATTATACCACTGCACTCCATCCTGGATGAAAGAGGGAGATCCTATCTCTTCAATAAAAAGAAGGAAAGAAGGACAAGAAATAAAGAGATAGAGAAAGAAAGAGAGAGAGAAACCACTGGGGTAGAGAACAAGGGTGCCCTCAGGAGTCAGGCAGTCCTCAGTCCCATCCAGCCCACTCAAACTTCATTCACCCAACAAACACCTGTCATGCCTATGTGCCAGGCTCTGTTCTAGATGCAGGAAAGACAGAAGGAATACAGCTGATGTTCTGTTGGGAAAGCAGACGGTAAATATATAGTGCACTATTACAGACAGCTGCTAATATGCACTACTAGGGAGACAAAGCAGGGAGAGGGAAGACAAGGACAAAGGGCACTGTTTTAGACGGTCAGCTGTTTGCTCAGCTTCATCCATATGAACTGCTCACTCCTCCCCAGTTTCCCTATATGTGAAACAAAGGGAACGGACCACTAGTCCCTAAGTCCAGTTGCTAGAGGCAGAGGTGTGAACAGATCAAAGTCCCAGTCCTCAGGGAGTTTGCATTCTACAGGGGAAGAGACAACAAGTACAGTATGATATGGGGGAAAAATATACAAAGTAGGATAAGGAAACAGAGAGGGCTGGGGTGGGTGTGGGGATGGGCTGCTACTTTATCAAACGTGGTCAGGAAAGGCATCGCTGATTGACGAGAGAATCAAAAGAGGAGGCCATGCAGACACTTGGGAGAAAAGCACCAAGCAAGGAACAGCAACTCCAAAGGCCCCATGCCAGTTGCAAAAAGCCAGTGCATCTAGAGCTGCATGGTAGAGGAAAGGAGGTAAGGAAGTCAGAAGTCACCCAAAGCCTCATAAGGAAAGGTCTTGTGGGCTTCTGTGAAATGGGAAGGCTACTATTTTGAACTGACATATTTTTAAAAGCAAATATTTTTAAACAGAAACCACTGAGGAAGCTATTGAACAATTCACAACACATGAACACAGGGGTGGCTTGGGGCAAGGTGTTTGCAACAGAAGTGGCTACATTCTGTATGCGCTCTGATGATAAAGCCAACAGATTTGCTGATGGACTGGATATGATGTGCACAAGAATGGGAAAAGCCAAGAATAATTCCAAAGTTTTTGGCCCAAGCAATTAGAAGGACAGCAGTGCCATTTATTGCAACGGGCAGTCGTAGGAGGAACAGGAAATCAGAAATTGAGTTTTGGCTATCATGATAAATAAATATTTGTTCTTTGTCCCAAGTTCCTGGCACATAGATTCTAAAAACCTTGGAATCTCCAGGGTGATAAGAATGTCTTCTGCATGCTGATGTGATGACTAATGGCTGGGGACCCCTAGACAGCTTCAGGACAGGGGCTGGTCACAAACCTTGATTAGAGGGCTGGAACTTTCAGCCCTACCTCCCAATCTCCCAGAGAGGGAAGAGGAGCTATAGATGGAGCTCATCACCAATGGCCATTGATTTAATCAAACATTCTTATATAACAGAATCGCCATAAAATTTCCTGAACAATGGGGTTCAGAGAGCTCCCAGGTTGGTGCTGAGAGGGCAGCATGCTGAAGAGGGCATGGAAGTTCCCTGACCCCCCACCTGGCCCTATGCATCTCTTCCATCTGGCTGTTCCTGAATTGTGTCCTTTATAATAAACTGGTAAATGTAAGTAAAGTGTTTCTCCGAGTTCTGTGAGCCATTCCAGAACACTATTAAAACTGTGTAGGGGGCTGTGGAAACCCTCAAATTATACCTAGTTTATCACAAGTTCAGGTGGCAACTTGGGACTTCTGACTGGCATCTGAAGTGGGGATGAGACTGAGACCTTAACCTGCAGGGTCTCCACTAACTCCAGGTAGTTTCAGGATGGAACTGAATTATATGTTTGTGTGGAGGAAAAATTCCCCACACATTTGGTGTCTGAAATATGAGGAGAAACACTATCAGAGACATATTACGATGTTTGTAAGCCATCCCAGTAGAAATGTAGAACAGGCAGTTGGAAGAATTCAAGAGTTCAGGGAGATGTCTCAGCTAGAGATAGACATCTGGGAATTTCAGCATATAGACTGTCAGCATGTAGACCACAAGACTGGCTGAGACGTCTTGAGAGTGAATGGACAAAAGAAGAGAAGAGAGCCATAAACTAAGTCCTTGAGCCCACCAGAGTGCACAGAAAAGGGAAACGAAGGGGACCAGCAAAGACTATGAAGGGAGCAACCAGAGGGGTAGTAGGAAAGCTAAGAGGGGCAGTCTCCTAGGAGCCAAGCAGAAAACACAATCGACTGTGACAAATATAATCATTAGATCAAGAAGGGCAAGGACTAACAGCTCCAGGTTAATAATGGCCCTAACAAGAGCTGTTTCCATGGAATGATGGGGACAAAAGTCTGATTAGAATGGGTTTGAGAAAGCAGAGAAAAGAATTAAAATGAGAGAGTAGACACAGCTCTTTCCTGGGGTTTCTATACAAAGTGGGGGAAAAATAAACCTATAGCTGGGTTTGAGGGTCAAGAAGGGATTCTGCAGGAGCACGATGTGTATGTGCTGATAGAACTAACTAGCAGAGAAGGGAAATGCATGGTACAGGAGACAGCCACATCCCTGAGCACACAGGACACGGCAGGAACACATGGAGGGGCGGGCCTAATCAGGAGTGTGGAGAATTCATCCACAGGAACACCAGAGAGAGCAGAGTGAACGGTGCAGGCCCAGGAAGGTTATTAAGTGTGGTGGTGGGAGCCTGTTGGACTTCTCTCATGACTTCCGTTCTCTCAGTCAAACTAGATGGGGAAGGAGCTTCAGGGTTTGAGGAGAGAGAAGGTGTGAAATGGTCATCCAGGATTTGAAAGGTGAACAGACTGAAGAGTTGAAGCCAGGTGGGCAGCACCCATAAAATATCATGGGGGTAGGTGGCTATGGACTTAGAGTGACAACATCAACATGGTGGTACGTGTTTCTCTCCAATCCCATTCAGCTCTATGGGTGCAAGTGTGGAGCATGACAAGTGGAACTTTACTGTCAGAAAGTGATGAAGAGAGAGAATGGCAAAAGAGCTGCGCCTGTTATGGAGGGTGTAATTACAACGATGGGTGGGTGAGAAGTAGGCGGGGTTACGGCAGGCCAGAGAAACGGTAAAAAGTTGGCAGGAACAAAGCAATATAGATGGGTATGGCTGGAGAGGAGTTTACGTGGGGCTAGGAGTGGGGACAAGCTGGAAATTTGGACAGGTGGGAAGCTTGGAATTGAGATTACAGAAAGGGCACAGTATTGGTAATGACAAGCCCAGCTCATGACCATGGAGCAAGGTGGCAGAGGGAGGATGGCACAGTCACTGCAGGAGTGGAGCCACAGACCCAAGAGGCCAGGGCAGTAGAAGAGTCGCCTCAGTGTACCCTGACATCTCCAGGAGACTATCGTGACTCTCCCTGAGGGCAGACCACACTTGGTGAGTTCAAGCAGGCCAAGGTGGCTGGAAGGTAGAGGGCGGAGCAAGCAGTCACGGAAGATGAGGTCTGAGGGTAGCCAAAGCCAAGTCATAGAGAGACACATAGTCTAATTACAATGGGAAGCCAGTAGAGGGGTTTGAGCAAGGGAATGACATGGTCTGACCTGCTCACCCTGGGCAGTTTCTTGGCCTCCTGGTCTCATGATACTCTTATGTGAAAGGGAATACTTACACCTATCTTTCAGGACTGTTACAAGGATCTGAGAAAATGAACCAGTACCTAGAAGATACCTGGCACCATGGTGGCAGCTCCCTTGGCTTCTACTGCTGAGTGCAATGACTGCTTGTACAAAATCCTAGAGGGAGCATGTGGTTTCTGCCTGGAACAGAAGGCGATGAGAAAGCAGAATCCCTGGGCTGCAGTCCCAGCTCCCTGTGACTTTCTGAGTAACTATGGGCAACTCCTCTCTACTCTTAGGGTCTTAGTGTGCACAGATAAAACATGGGAGGGAGAAGCGACCAGGGGGACTTGGCCATGTCAACTGGGTGGGGCGAGGGAGTGGGGCGGATGTAGAGTGGACATGGGAAAGGGTGGAAATGAGATCGAGATGGTAAGCTGGGGTCAAGCTACAGGACAGGCTCAGATGTCAGTGAGGACAATGGATTTCAACTGTACTCAAGAAAGAAAGAACATGAAGAAGCCCTCTCTAAGAGTTTCATTCAGTGACCCAGACTTAAATGATGGTAACAGCTTCCTGAGGTGTGTCACTGATATCCAATATGCAGCCAGGACTTGGTGGAAGGTCAATTCTCCATAAAAACAGGGCAGATGCATTTAAACAGAGCCAAATGCATTTAAAATTTTTTCAAATAAATCATAAAAACACACAAAGACACTTCCCAAACAGGTGCACTTCAGGGACACCTGTTTGGTGTCAGAGACAGTGAGGGTGGGGGTAGGTATAAAGTTGAACACCCACGTGCACACTGTATCTATAGTCAGATCCAATGCTAGCCCATATGTAATTATTAATCTTCATTATAAATCTGAAAAGGGTAGATCTTATTTTTTCAAGTTTTACAGATAAGGAGATTGAGGCAACGAGTAAAGTACCTAGATTCACGCTGCAAACTAGTAGCAAATATTTGAACCCTCTCCATTTGACTTCAAAGTCCTTCCCCTTTTTTCCATTCAAAAAAATTACATGTATGTGTTTTCATACCAGACAAGTGCCCAGAGCCCTAGCGCAGTATGACACGGCAAGGATAGCCAAATCCAGAGCAAATGAACTGATGGGTGTCCCCCTCTACTATCATGCCAAGACCCCCAGAGAGCTCCTTCCCCACCGAGGTTCCCATCTCCACCCTGAGGATGGATGGACAGCGAAGGACCTTCCCAGCTGTGAACACTGCAAAAACTCTCCTGGGACAAAATAGGAAAACTTACAAAAACTGAAGCAACCACTGGAATTCCCACTGTTGACTAAAATGACTAAGGGCTTGACTGATAAGAACTTTTCTGGGCTTTTGGGGTTTCCTCTGGCGAGAAGTTCTTTCTGAGCGGGACCCTGACTTGCGTGGGTCGCGCACGGAGGCCGGCAGCCAGACTGGGGCGCAGGCCTGCCCGCTGTGCGCCTGCGCTGGGACTGCTCGACACCGCTCCCGAGCCTCCTCCCCAGCTGCAGCCGCTCCCGAGCGCGGATGCCCCAGGAGGGTAGCGCACGGGGCTCAAACCCCGCCTTGCGGAAGCGCCTGGTGGCAACCTCAGAAAAGCCTCGTGGGAAATGTAGTTTCCCCTGTCCCGGGAAAGCGGCGCTCTTCTGGGGTATCTCAGGAGCAGGCAGCAGTCAAGGGACGGGCTCCATTCCTAAAGGTGCAAAGCCTTCAGGGGAGACCCCGATGGTCCCCCCAAATTAGAGCCACTGCCCGGGTTTTGGAGGAGGCGAGCCGTTACCTTTCTGCTGAGGAACTCCCTGACCAAGGAGGCGGCCACCTCCTCCACGAAGAGGCTGTCCATGGCTCCGGCTCTGCCCATGAGGCCCACGCCGAGTCGCAGACCCGGGCCGCTAAATCGGTTGGGCGCAGTATGGCCGCGTTGCCGTGGCGACGGCGGCGTCGGCGCGGCGAGAACTCCTCCCCTTCCCTGGGGCAAGCGGGAAGGGGTGGAGCGTCCTGCAAAAGCGCGTCTCAGAGTGGGAGGCCGCAACCAGGGCGCCCCGGCGCCGCCCAGGGCGCCGCCCAGGGCCCCGCCCACGGGCTCCGGGCTCGGAGTCTTCACTCTGGTTCTGGTCCTCTAAGAGGCCTCGGACTGATTACCGCCCAGCTCCGAGACTCCATTTCCCTGGACATAAAATGGGAAGAATGCCTGCCTCCTTGTTTCTGGAGGACTAAAAAGTGACCTCCTTAGGTGCACCCTCAGCACCACAGCCCCCTCTGGGACCACCAACGCCACCGACCTTGGCAGGCCTGGACCGTGGGGGCAAGGAAGCCCAGGATTCTGCCTCTTGGGCACCAAAATTAAAGGACACGTTCCTCACCCCCTCGGTGCCTGCTTTCTCGTAATGAGACTGCCATTTATTGATCACCAAGCTCTTAAGACACAATGGCACTTTTAATCCTTACAACTTCATGGCCAAGTGGTTACTGTCGGCCCCATTCTTTAAAACTAAACAGATTCAGAAAGGCTAAGATTTTGCTGAGGCACACACAGCGGGTACTGGGAAAGTTGGCTTTCTAATCAAGCCTGATAAATTTACCCTAAACTTAGTCACCTGGGTTCCACCTTCACAATCTTTGCCACTTCTGCAAGTTACTTATTGTATTCCTTTGCTCAGGGAGCCATACAAAGTACCAAAGACCAGGTGGCTTAAACAACAGATGTATTGTCTCCCAGTTCTGAGGACTACAGACCGAGATCAAGGTGTCAGCTGGATGGTTTTTTCTGAGGCCTCTCTCCTTGGCTTCTATTATAGATGGCCACCTTCTCCCCGTATCTTCACACGGCTAGCCCTCTGTGTGTGCCTGAGTCCTAATCTCTTCTTATGAGGACGTCAGTTGTATTGGAGTAGGGTCCACCCTAATGGCCTCATTTCTGCTCAATCACCTTTTAAAAATCCTATCCCACACAGTCACATTCTGCGGTACCAGACGTTAAGACATCAACACAGGAATTTTGAAGGACACAATTCAGCCTTTAACACCTATACCGCTACTTATGGATTATTTTCTTTAAATCCACATACATGTTTTACAATTTATTTTAAAAGGAAAGTGTTCCCAAGCAGTAATATCCACAAGATCTTGGGTTTTATGTGCTTGTTAAATCTCTAATACATATTAAAACAAACACAAAACCAGTAAGGTATGCATTCAACTAAATCACCTTACGACCGCCACTAACTGGCACATGTACCACACTTGGGAAGCAACCGTCTCACCCTACACAGTCTCCGTAGGATGTGGCCATAATATGGCAGGTTGCACTGCAATCTCCAGGCATTTCTCCCTCTCAATCCGCGATGGTTCTTTGAGAGGCCTCTTTTGAACACGCTGTGCTATGTGAGAAAGAGCCATATGCTCTTACATGTTCAGAGAGAAGGGCGGAGTTGCAGGAGACAGTGTGAAGCTTGGTCCAGGGGCCCTCATGTTCCAGCTGTGAAGACACACTGATGGCTGATGTATAATAATAAAAGAATAACATGAGACAGATTTATACTCGGTACGAGATTGTGTATCAGGGGTCCCCAACGCCCGGGCTGTGGACCAGTATGGGTCTGTGGCCTGTTAGGAACCAGGCCACACAGCAGGAGGTGAGTAGCCACAAGGGAACATTACCACCTGAGCTCCACCTCCTGTCAAATCAGCCACAGCATTAGATTCTCATAGGATTGCGGACCCTATTGTGAACTGCGCATGCGAGGGATCTAGGTTGCACACTCCTTATCAGAATCTAATGCAGGATGATCTGAGGTGGAACAGTTTCACCCTGAAACCATCCCCATCTCCCATGGAAAAACTGTCTTCCACTCAACAGGTCCCTGGTGTTTAAAATGTTGGGGACTACTGTTGTGTATCACAGATAGTAGGTGTTATATAGTAGGTCAGAGGAAAGAGATTTCCCCCATGGAGGCAGATCAGGGTGAAAAAAGAAAAAATCATTCACTCCCCCATTCATTTATTCTTTAAAAAATATTTTTTGAGCTCTTACCGTGTGCCAGGTGTATGGGTGCTGCAGATTTAGCACTGTAAAATATGTCTTCTTAGAAAAGATGGGGAAAGATGGAAATGGGGAGATGGACAAAAATGTTGTAAATGCATAGAAGACTCATGGGGAGCATGGCAGATGGTTTAAAGGGCATCATAGATTTATTTATTTGTTTTTGGTTTGTTTTAGAGGCAGTATCTCATTCTGTCACCTAGATGGGGTTCAAGTGGCACAATCATAGCTCACTGTAAGCTCAAATTTTTAAGCTCAAGTGACCCTCCTGCCTCAACCTCCCAAGGAGCTAGGACTACTGGCATGCAACACCATACCTGGTTGGTTGATTGGTTGGTAGGTTGGTTGGTTTGTTTAGAGATAGGGTCTCACTATGTTGCCCAGTCTGGTCTTCAACTCCTGGCCTGAAGCTATCCTCCTGCCTTGAGGATGGCTTGAGGATATTCAGCCTCCCAAAGTGCTGAGATCATAGGAGTGAGTCACTGCACCTGGCCCCCAAAAATCATAGATTTAAAGAGAAAAAAAGCATGGAAGGCAAAAAGGAGGACTTTTAATCGGGAGCAGAAATAATGATTTTTAAAAGATGACTAGGTAAGGTCACTTAGATGGTAGAACTTCAGCAAGAAAGAGAGGATGTGAGCTATGCAAAGACCTGCAGGCAGAGGAAACAGCAAAAGCAGAGGCCCTGCGAAGCGTCCAGCCTGAGTGCTTGTGAAATTCAGAGGCCAGAGACAGTGGAGAGAAGATGGAAGGGGGCCTGATGGTATAGAGTCATCAGAAGGGATCAGCTTTTCCTCTGAAAGGGGAATCCTTTGGAGAGTTTTGGGCAGAGGGGAGACAGGATCTGACTTAGGTTTGACAGGATCCCTTTAGCTTTTGTGTTGAGAATAGATGGTAGAGGGACAAGTACAACAGATCCTCAAAAAACATTGCTTCCTTCAACATCATTTGGTTATGATGCTGAAAGGAAAATAAAAAATCAGTTTCCAGCTGGGGCTACCATCTGTGTAGAGTTTGCAGGCTCTCCCTGTGTCTGCATGAGTTTCCTCCATCATCCCAAAGGTGTGCATGCTGGGTGAATGTGTGTGTCTACGCGATCACAGTGTGAGTGACTACAGATGTGGGTGTGGGTGTGAGCATTTCCTGTGATGGAATCTTGTCCTGTCCAGGGCAGGCCTTGTACCCTGACCACTCTTGACACTGAACTGGAATAAGTGGGTAAGTTATTACCTCACTTTTTAAAGTGAATTTTTCTTAATTGTATGTATAGCTCACATTTATTTCAATGTTTAATATTTGAAACATCTTGCTCTTTATTTAGAAGTTTGGTGATATTTTGGGGACCAAGAGTATGCCAGGAACTCAAGTCTTATTGATAGCAGTTAGCCTATAGTAACACTGGTTTTGTTATATATCGTTTCTCTGAAAGCTACAATTTCCAAAAACTTATGGATGATGCTAAATGAGGACTTACTGTATGGAAGCAGGGACACTAGCTGGGAGACAACTGCCCCAATCGGAGGTCTGGCTAAAACTTAGGCTAGACATAGTTAAAAGTGTGTGTGTGTGTGTGTGTGTGACTTTGTCACTTTCCTGGCCCTGAAACTTTTTTTTTCACATTGGAATGAAAGGTTAAGCAAGAGAAGTGCAGGAATGCATTCTTTTTCCAGGCACATAGCTGACTCCTGGGAATAAAAGAACCTTAACACAACCTTAAGGTGGCAAGTAAAAGAGGCAATCTGGTCATCATGGAAGGGCAAAGGGTGTGCTGCCAGAAATCTGAGAAAGACTAGATTGCATCATGTGTCCCATTCTTTTCCACCACTCCTCCACAAGGAATCCAGATTTCACTACATCATGTTCCTGTGAGCTGAAACATTCTCACCAATCTAAGGGAGCCCTGCTCTCCTGCCTGAACATGAATGGTGATTGAGGTCTTATTTTAAAAAAGCATGGGAGATAAAAAACAGCCATGCCATCAAAATAAGGACCCAATCATTATACATATCTACAATCACTTAAAAAGCAAGGAAATGCTTTTCCAGGTTTCATAAAACAGAGATAAACCCATGGAGTCTGCTAAATAAGCAAGAACAATAAAACATGCTTGCGTGATATCCAGAAAGCAATAATTTCTCCATGTTACCCATGGACCTAAAGCCAGATTTAGCCAAGATGATCATGTATCTCATTATTGATGGGCAGTCATTTCATTCACCTTCTCAACAATACAATGGAAATACATACAGAATCTTAACAATGGGAATGTGAGTACAAACGTTAACTCCTAAAAGATGACAGGCAGCATAATATCTTTGTACACACTGTTAAACCAACAAGTCATAATTTCTTGCAGGAAAATAGAGCTTTGATAAAGCTTTATAAAAATAAAAGCAAGGAAATGAAAATGTGATTCAGGTCAGCAGTTACTTGGGAAAGGGAAGGTCAAGGACATGGCAGAAGAGAATGATGCAGGTAATGATAAGTATTCGTCAGTGCTCTGGCTGTCATGAGTGTATTTGTTTCTTACACATCTTTTATATTATTTCTATTGATTCAGTAGTTAATGCAAGATGGACTCTCAAGGGCCAATGATGACAGGATGTCATGAATTGACATGAGTTGTGTTATTAATTGACTCTATGTCCCTGAGGTATAGAAGGAAGGGAGGGAGGAAAATT